CAATATTCAATATTTCGGTAATATGAAAACTCAATCGATATATAGGGATGTCTTTTTTTTTTTATAATTATAATCAATTCACTAGTATTTTAAGGCAAGAAACTTTTTAAAAATTTGTATTCTTCCATAGATCTGAAGCAAAAAAATTTTTTTTTCACATCAGTAAATCGATATTTTATTTAATTAGTTAATGTAGAAATTACAAGGAAATAATATTTATATCAATATGATAATGTTTTGTCTTTTCCATTATAAAAAAAAACAAAGTTTTGAATCTATATCAACATACCACGCATGCATACAAATCATTCCGTTTAATACAAAGAGCGTTCAGTGTAAATTGAACAGATTGTTTTCCACTATTTAACTATTTACTCCCTGACATTCATATAGTAGAGTTGGTTAGAAATGCACCAGTTCCTAGAACACAATGTCAAAGATGACAAGTTTTTTCCGTATTGAGAATGTAGTTTCTGTGGATTGTTTATATAAACCATGACCAGTTTTTTTTTGCTCTATCCGAAATGGTAATCAGAGGTCATGAGATGCAAACAAAAGTTTTGAAATCAGTTGAAAATTCCCATTTTTTAGTTTTCTTTTTTGACCTATTCTAATTGATTTTAAGATCTGCGTTTTGACATTCGACAAAACCTAAGAATAGATTTGGAAAGAGCGTTCAATACTGGGCTGATGTTTTTTGTAAGCATGGATAAACAAATTTCTTGAATTTATAATCAAAGTTTAAAATATTTCCAATATTGAGAATTGGTGAACTTCTAGCGATTCTTTATGCAAGTTGTGATCAGTTTTGAACGCTTTTTCTAAAGTCATTCGTAAGTTTTGTCTGATGCAAAATACAGATCTTAAAATCAATTGAAATTAGTCAAAAGAAAAAAAAACAAACCAAGAAAACAAATGCAGATTTTCGGCTAATTTCGAAACCTTTGTTTTGTATTTCATGCGCTTCGACTACAACTTAGGATAGAGCACAAAAAAATTGATAATGATTGGTATAAACAATCCAGAGAAACCATTTTCTTAATAAGAAAAACAATATCATCTTTGAAATCATGTTCTAGGAATCGGTGCATCTCTAAAGTTACTGTTGAGTTAACTACAAAAATAGCGATATAGTTCGATATGGATGAAATCATTTCACTGTGGTGACACAGCATAGGTAATAAATAACCTATTCGTCTTGAATGACATAAGAATTGAATTTATTGTGGATTTGATTTTTATTTTACATTTTTTCGTTGTTATGTTGTTATTTTATCTATATAAAGTTGGAAATTTACCTATTATAAATTTTTTTTTTCAAAAAATGATTCATTTCAGGAGACAATATATGGTTAGATATTTGTAAAAGCGGCTATTTTCGGATTGAAATCAAATATTTCATTTCAAGGATTGTATCGGAGTCCTTAGTCTTCATGTTCTTTTTATAATATGAAATCATCGATTCTAATTTCGATTCGAAATGACCTATTCTCTTTGTTAAAGCTCTCCTTTCTCAAAAAAAAAATCTTAGGATAAATAAATGGGAAGATAATCCGAGATCTAATCTTTCATATATGACATGATTTTTTTTATTTGACACTTCGTATTTTTTCCTAAGATATTTTGATGATTTCTGTTATCATCTACTTGAAAAATATACTATTTTCAGAAAAAGCAATAATTCTTTTTCGTTTTTTTTTATAGTAATGCCTTTTTAATCATGCATCTCAGAATTCTCGAAGAAGCTTCATTGTAGTTAATTGCATTTTTATTTTTATTTTAAAGAACATGTTAAGATGTAGAGCATGACAAAGTCCCTCTATCTGAATTAAGCATTGTTACTATTATATGAGGAAGTATTATTATAATTAGAACGGCAGTTTTTTGAGAGTTTTTCAAGACATTGAACTTATCTTCACTTAACAAGTTAGAATACTAAAAAAGTCAAGCTCTGTCATGCTCTTTCAAACAAAAAGAAGTACATATATAAAATGAAGGGTTACAAAGAGTTTTGTGTTCTCAAATGGCCCATTTTTGACCGTTATTTGTTGAATATCTCCCGAAAATATCATGATACAGGACTGAAAATTTTGCGATAGCTTGTCAACTATAGTCTTAATATATTCTGGAAACTTCATATAACTTGAATATATCTGATTCAAGAGAGATTTCTGAGGGGTGGAAGGGCTTTAAAATTTCATCTAGAAAGAAAACGACAACACAAGCTACAGGTTTCTATCTTTTATCAGCGAAAAGTTATTTTAAAATGGCTGAAAAATGTTTTTTAACTGATTTTTAGTATGCAGATCACGCTACTTTATGAGTTTATATTGGAAATAAAATAATTTTAGAAAAGACATTTTTCATGTTACTGATTACAAATGCGTCAAAAATAAGTCAAGTTGTGATAAAAAATGTTGCTTTCACATGTGTAATCAAGAATTTGCTTTAAAAAAAAAGAATCACTCTGCAAATAGATTATGCTCTTTGTGATATATATCAACTTCACCAACATCAGAAAAATCCATCTGTGAAAATAAATTACAGAAAAAAAAAAGATTCTATTACTTCTTTTTTGAAAGTACATCATGTTCTAAATCATATATCTTAGCCAAGGAATAATAAAAAAAAGTTACATTTCGTGTCGACTATGTAGCCTATTTAAAACTATACACAATGTTTAACAACCATTTCGATTTAATGCTTTATTACTCTAAATAGATAGTTTTTATGAATAGGTCAAAACTGACTCTCAACAAAGGGTTGAATAATTGAACTTTATTTATCGAACTATATTTGTACTAAAAATAATATTGTCATAAAGGTAATCTATGTTTAATTAGTCACTAGATAAATTCAAGGTGAAATGAAAAACATCATATCCTCTTGTTTACAATATCTATATTTTGTTATTGTTGTTATGCATGATCAAACAAATTACTCTGTTGAAATATATACCTGAGAAAAAAAAACCAAAACATCGCAATAAATCGTTTTATTATTTTAATCCTTCTTTTCTCTCTGCATATTCTCTTAACTGTATTCTAAATTCTTATGGCTGGTCAATTATTAATAACTATTGTTGAAGCTAGAGCACTTGATGATAAAGATACTTTTGATGGCTTAAATGATGCTTATGTTCAAGTTTATATAGATGATGACTATAAACAATGAACAGCAACTATTTCAAATTCAACAGATTCACAATGGAATGAAACATTTCATTTGTAAAAATGTTTTCTAATCTAATTTCTATTGAATTTTATTATTTTTATATCAGTTTTTTAGTCGTATTGAACATGATCAAAATCATATACATATAAAAGTATATGATGAGGATGATACAGCTGGTCGTGATGCGATTGGTTCAGCTAAAATTGATTTAGAACCTGTACAAGCATCAGGATATTTTGATGATTGGGTTAAGTTACCCAAATTATTTGGTCTCGGTTCAAATAGTCAAATTCATGTTCACATGCATTTTCAATCTTAATAAATCAAAGTCGGTTAAATGTTAATAATTTTAAAGTGTCTATAAAGTCATAAGAGTAAAACAAGACAATTATATTATTTCTATTGTAGTTATACGAAATGAAATGATTGTTTTTTCTCTTTTGTAATAATAGAAGATATTTCCAATATATGAAATAGTCTTTTCTTTGTTCTTCTTCGAGTTTCGAAAAACAATAGACAGAATTCATTGTATACACAGTTGTGTGATATTTTTTGAAAAATTTGAAATTTTAGTTTTTTTCTCAAAGATATTCGTTTCTCATTCATCAACAAGCTTTGTTAAAAATGAATGAAGAAAACTCAAGCAATTTTAGAACTTCCGAGGTCATCGAAATTTCTTTTTTCAAGAAATATCAAACAGATATTGATACAGTAAAGTTCTAAAAAATTAAAGCGATTCAATAGGAAACTATGTCGGTGATTTTTTTGAAACTCGAAATAGAAAAGTTGTTTTGTTTATTGAATTTAAATGTTTTAGTTTTCGAAAATATTGATGAATTTAAACTTTATGAATAAAAATTTGAAAACCTTCTCTATTATCGCGAAAAGAAAAATCACTTCATTTAGTGAGATTACAATGTAGATATTTGATTTTATTGTTTGTTTTTTTTACAAACAGTCTATAGTTTTTCTACAATACATAAATAATTTCTTTTAATGTTACTTTATTGCATAATATTAAAATAATATATCAAAAGAAAATGAAATATTTCTTAATGAATAATGGAAAGTAAACATAGCAAAAATGTTTATCTTTATTAGAAAATATATTAGTTTATTCTGAAAAAGTTACAATTATGAGATTCGAACCTTTTTTCTATACAAATTTCAATGAAGGTTAATTTTTTTTCACGATTGTTTTACTACGATAAAATTATTCTTCTGAATTCGACTAATCATAGATCACACTTTTATGATAACAAAAGTATTCTATTCGTTACAAGCATATTCCAGCCTTTCGATATAGGGTGCTGCCTAGCGGTCAATTCAACAGCCAAATATCTTCCTTACAACTAATACTAGCTGTAGCTCTGTACAGAAGACTAGTCTGATGCCGAATTCTTGCACTTCTCACATATACTAACCAATCACACTCTAGCTACAACGTAGCCAGCATTTTATCGGATAGGTGATCCGACATAAATAGCCGTTAGTGATTTGCGTAGGATCATTTCATGGCTGAGTAGAGTATCAAGGTTTAAACATAGTACCTGGTGGATATCTGTCGAACAACATAGTCACTCAGACATGATAGTCCATGTTCAGTTCACAACAGAGTATTAACTACAAATAGGCTTCAATAAATATTCTATAGATTTTAAATCGCAACCTATTCTATATAAAAATATTCAAATCAAAATAGTCGAAAAATAAGTTCAAATGAAATAGTTACACTTCTGATGATATCAAACGAATAATTTATTTCAAATAAAAAACTTCTTTCTATTAAAACTCATAAAATTGTGATTTATTAAATAAATAGAACTTTAAAAATATGAAACATGTCTGTCAGGATCATAGCTATCTGAAATCATATCATCCGTACAAGCAGTAGAAATGTGTCTGTCAGAATCAAAACCACACGAAATCATATCATCCGTACGAGCAGTAGAAATATGTCTCTCAGAATCAAAACCATACGAAATCATATCATCCGTACGAGCAGTAGAAACACGTGCTGGTCTAAATGCTGATGTTGTTGATGTTGATATTGTTCTTGCTCTATGACGATATTTTCGTTTTGTTTTAAAAATAAAATTACCCGGAAAAAACTGCATAACAATAAATAAATAACAAAAACAGGCAGCAACAATTTCAGTTATTATTGATGCTATTTCAAATTTATGTTCATGTTTTGCAATATATAACCATTCTGTTGCAACAGATGCTGTTACTGCAACAACAAATATATATAATGTTGCTTTAATAGCTGCACCACGAAAACGATGATATGATTCAGCAAAAAAATCAAATAATATATAAAAAGCAATATTATCTCTTGTTAATGTTGTAAGATGTGTATCGAAAAAAACTGGAATAAATAAAGCAAGAATAACTTCTAAACGTGACATAAAATGAAATAAATGTTCTTGTTCAATTGGTACATGAACATGAAGACCACGATGTTTATAAAATACTCGACAACAAATAAGGCAAATAAAATAGATTGTATCTACCGTTGCCCACACAGTATACAAAATTATATGTAATGCATCATTTTTTTTAACATAATATACTATATGTGCTAATGTCCCAACTTCAGTTAATATCCATAAACTTAAATGATAAAAAAAACGTATATAACGTGATCGAAGTGGTGCACAATATTGTAAATAAATAAAAACACTTAAAATTGATGAAAGTAAACCTTCATAACCACTAGCGGAGTTAGCAGAACTATGATAATAAAAAGCATCAAATATATAAGCTGCTTCAGCAAGAAATGGTAATATTACGCAAGCACAAACAAAAAAACGATCATCAGATCGACTTGGAGTCGGATGAGATTCTTCTGATTTCGATCGTTTCATTATTAGTCAAAAGGTAAAAGCTAAATTACACTGGAGACATAGCCACCTATATCAAAAGACATATCATAAATATATGTGCATCCACGTGGATCAGGTTTTATGTTAATGAAGTGTGACCGTCTTAATCCTTTTGATATCAATTAATAGAAACGCAAAAAGTAATATGTTGTTTTGTTTGACGAGCTATATACTTTGACAAAACAGGTTAAATGATTTCAACCAATGAGCGATCATTGTAGAAATTACAAGTGCAAACGAATATTAGAAATATTTATACTATTTAAACTCGTCAAATGTGCCACCGATCCAATTAAGATTTGGAATAGATTCAATGAATTATACTCCAAAAAGTGATAGTCAATTGTGATTTGATAATTATAAAATTATCGTCAAGATTACCTGAGAAATCTGTAAGATGTGTTAGTGACAAAATACAAATAATCAATAGAAAGTATTTCGCATCTTCGTAGCGGCTATGAGATTCAAAACTTTTGAACCCGACATGTTCTATATATTGTTCTGTTAAAAAAGAAAGAACACCGTCAATACAAAACGAGAAATTTATTACAATTCTCTGATAATTTCTTTCCGAATCATAAATAACCAATGAAATATTTTCGACTTGAGAAAATTTATTTCATTAGCATATCTATTCAAAATTCTAAAATAATTGTAATCTTTAATAATGAAAAATATTTTTTAATAGACAATTACACTCACATATGAGATTCAATTGCAAAAAGCTTTTAATCAAAATTGAAAATATTGATGAAATTATATGTTCAAAAAATTGTATTAAGACAAAAAACAATCCTATCATTCAAAATATACCTAAACTTATGAACAATACAAACATTTCATTAATTTTCTTTTTTTATTACAATTATTCATAAAATAACCGACAAATTCTTCGCATTAAAATCATTTCTAATTTACAATGTTCGACAAAAACAACGAATGATATTCTATTGATCAAATAAATTTATCTTAAATATTTTGTTTACTATTAATATCATTTTCATTTATTTGTCATCGTTTATATTTCTTTTTTTGAATTAATAAATAAAACATAATGATTCAATCGTTACGATATAATCATGAAAATACCAATTAATAATTCAAAAAAACAAAATATTACATATAATGATAATGTAAATCATTAAACATATTATATAGAATATAATATACAGTTAATTTCCTTTTCCTACACTCGTGATTAAAGAAAAAAATAATTAGTCATAATATTTCATATGATTCACAAAAGGAAAGGTAAACACTAGCTAAGTGTAATATTCTGATTTTATCTTGGTTTTTTTTTTCGTATAAACTCAGATTAATCTACTAACGATAGAAAAAAAAAACCGTACAAATTAAGTCTAATTATCATTTTAAAATCACGATAATTTCCTTATTGTCTTTGAGTCTACTTTTCTTTTTTTTTGTCATATTTATCAAGATAAAATCACACGCTAAAAAAAATCCTAATTGATCGCACCCATCATCACTAGCGTGCATGTCTATCAGCTGACCATCAAAATTAAGTTCTTCCAAGCAATATATAATGACTGACGACGAACAAAAGGACACGCTGATATTCGTCGCATGTTATATTAGTAAAGAGAGGCGTTGAAAAGCAATTCCGTATGTGTATGTCTCTGTTTCTGTTTCATATACGTATATATCTATATATTGTAGACAACAAAATGTCATCACTCGTTCAAATATAAACATATTCTTTCGGTTCAATTCACTTCTGCCATATATATTCGCCAGAACTCACGATCATCATCATTTACCGATTTTCTTCATCTTTATTTTACTAACCACCATAACATTAAATACATTAAGTAGCAGCACGCATACATATATATATATATATATTCTTTCGCCTTCATTTCATCTTCGATTCGTCTGGCATTCACTTAAACGAAGAATCATTCGCATTCTCTCTCATTTTCCTTTTTGCTTTATATTATAAACAATTCTAATAAATACTGTATATATATATATATATAATCATAGCTTGAAATATGTTGATCATCTCAATTCAAGCATGATGCTTAACTTTGACAGTTAGTATAGACATTAAACACATCCACACACGCGCATCACGTCGGAACCATGATTTCCGTTTAGAGATCTCATTTTTATTCTACTACTAATGTATAGCAGGTGCAGAGAATATGATCATGCATTTTAAGATAAAAACAAAAAAAAATAAAATAAAGAAAACTTAGAGAAAAACTAAAAAGAGGAATCAATTGAAACATCATGCACTTACCTTGAACATATAAATGAATAAATGCTTTTTGTGGTGGTTGAGTATTAACTTCACATGTATAGATTCCTTCATCATCAATATTAACATTAGTTATTGTTAATGAATAATCATGATCAGTACGTTGAATATTTAAACGATAATCAGTTATTAATAAATCTTGATTATGTGCTAATATTGAATCTCCATTATGTGATCCATAACTTTGTCGAATCCATATTAATTGATGTGATGATGAAAGTGATAATTCATGATTTATACTACTAAATATACATGCTAATTTTGCTTTTTGTCCACTAATTACTGTTACATTCGTTTGTAATGCTTCCATTATTGGTTTAATTTCTCCTAGATTAAAAAAGAAAAGAAAAAAAAATATACACACATATTTTTTTTTCGCGTTCTTTTATTTTATTATATTTCAATGAAGAAAAATTTTCCCCCTAAAGCAAGTGTCATCATTGATTTGTTGTATTAAAGAACAATATGCAATATATAGAGCTCATCAACCATGCATAGCAACAAAGACAAAAAATGGACAAATCCTGTCCGCTAAGATCGAATTAGAACTGAATGATGCGCGTTATCCCCAATCAAATTAGTCAGTTCATATACTTTCATTCATTCACAACTCGTAACAGACATCCCCCAATGAGCTAATGTCTGCCCATATTTATATATATGTATTGGAATGCAAATCGGTGTCACATTGGGAGAAGCACTATTCATAAGCGGTGCGCACAATTTCCCTTTTTTCTTTTTTTTATTTTATTTGAATAAAATAAATCTCTTTGGAGATAAAAAAAAAAAAAAGAAAACAAAAAAAAAGAAGAAATCATATTTTTACATAACTATAGAAGTACTTACAAAGAAAATTTATTTCTATTATGCTATTTACTTTTTATTATTGACCATTGTCCACGGTAATTACAGACAGATGATCCGTGATACTTGTGCTGGTCAACATCGGGTTAACATCTTTATTGATGATGATTCTATGACATAATCTATTTTCCTTTCTCTCAAGGTAAGTATATATTTTCTTGTTCTCTATCTCTCTCATAACAGGCGACAGAATAGTTCAACACATTACACTACAATCAATTTATCAGAAAAGAGAGAGAGAGAGAGAGGGATGTACATATGATCAAGAGAACTTGTCAACTATTCTTGTTTTAGTCTAAGTGAGTGAGTGACAACAAGTGTATCAATAAATAGATAATGACAATTGAGATTGCTAAGGAATTTTACAGATGGACCAATTCATATATATATATATATATATCGCCTTGTATTAAGATATACATATATATATATGTATATATATATACAAAAGAAGATATGATTTATGCAAATCACAGCTGAACTTGAACATTATCACGACGTGTGTGTATATGGTAAAATGGTCGTTTACATCATCGCCATATACATATATTTATATATACATTGAATTTATGGCGTTGGAAGAGTTTTACGTCTTATATTATCACTTTTATATTACTTCTATACAATCGCATGAATATACAAAAAAAAATGAACAAAAATCTGAAATATCCATTTACTATCGATTGATTTTAATCTCACGCATCGATACTTATGATAACCTATAATATAATCTTCTTACCATTATTATCAATGAAAGACGATGTTTCAATGATGAGAAGAAGAAGACAAACGAAGAAGGTCCAAAACATTGTACGTTAATAGAATATTTATGTATTTTAAATAAAAATATTTATATTTGTTGATGTTGTTGTTGTTGTTGTTATTCGAAGTTTGACAACAAGATAAAAAAAAGACCGAAATCGAAAAGTATTGTTAGTCACTATGTCCACTTAAATGAAGAGAGTACTTGAATGTCGGCACGATGTACAACCATCGAGACAAGAAACAGGGAGGAGAATAGGATGAGCTTATATGTTGTGTGTTGCTTCCTGCTGCTACTGCTGTTGCACGTTATGCGATCGTAAGAGCAAGGAGAGACTTTTTCTCTTTCGCTCTTTTCTCTCTCTCTCTCTCGTCTTCTCTTTCGTTGTCCATATACATATAATAGTCGTCTAAAGAGAATAGTTATTACATTGAGATACTAGTCTAAACTGACTTTTTTTTTTTGTTCGATGTTATACATTGAAAGAAAGCGAAAAACTCATCGCTCATGTTCCGATGTTGGAATGAACGATAACGTCGAAAATTCAATTCATTTATTTGTGGTTTTTTTTTCTTGCGACGTCTATAATCATATCAAAGAATTCCAACGAAATAAAAACAGGAAAAAAAAAACAAGAAATTATCGATGCGAATATAAATGAATGTCATAATTTAACAAAATAAAGATCTCTATTATTTCAAGATTTGATATTTTATATATCATCGATTAATATAAAGATTATATAAAAATAATTTGATATGGATCAAAGATCAAACGAATATTTATTGAATGATAGAATACAAATTCAATCAATATAAACGCGTGTACAGATGAATAATTGTAAAAATGGATCTATAAAAGATGGTTTTTCTTCTATATGAATACTTAATATTTAAATTTTGATAAATAAAAATCTTTCACTTGCTCATCAGTATTCAGATGCTCATGAAGATATTTGTTTGATATATCAAAAATTTCTAGCAAGATTTGTCTTATGATAATTATTTATCATACACATAGAGAGAAAAAGAAATAGTATGCCTTGTCTGTAAAAAGATAAAATCAAAAGCAAAATGTCTGTTTTATTGACTTATGCAATTGATGAGTGTTAATCAATTAATGGTTCATTTAATCTTGCATAATTTCGTAATCGAAATGAATCATCATTTATCCAAGAACATATGTCCTTTTTATTAAAAAAAATATGCATCTGTAATTATTATTTAACTGTAATATTTAAAAATGTTATTTGAATAAAAATAGATAAAAAATAAGATATTAACTTCTTTCTAAATATGTTTGTAAAGAAACGCACAAATTCAGTTGAGAATTGTATTCATATAATCTGAATTATATACAATAAATTTGTTAAATACAATATCGTAAAGTTTTGTTATAGTTGATACAGCGAAGTACTAAGAATGATAGTCAAAAACTTGTTCTGTTGTAAATTATCACTGATAAGCTTAAAAAAGAATCGAAATTTGATGACCTTTATGTCCCTAAAATATGAGAAAGGTGCACCTGTGCCTAATAAATTGTTATCTATTATAGTGCGAAAGTCCAAACAAAACCAAGTTATTTTGTAATTAGAGCTAATAATAAAATTTTATTGAATATAAAACTTAGAAACTTTTCATTCAAACTCTATTGTATGCTTGTTTAGTCATTATTTTAATATCTTTAAAATACATCAAACATATATAAGTCATACTAAAAGTAACATAATTTACAGTCAAAACTTCATTGAATATAGGTTATCTAGTTTTATCACTCAAGATAATGAATCCAGATTGTATATTTCTCCGGTGAATCATATTCGAAAAAAAGAACTTCTTAAAAATGCCTTGAAACAAATAAATGAGTAAGCAAAAATCCATTCTTTTTTTTTTTTGAAAAGATTAATTCATCCATATATTTCATGAGTGTAAAATCATTTAATAATCTATTCATTTTTCGAAACTTATTTTTTCGTCCAAAAAGCATATTTACAAAAATATATTCAAACAAAAAATGAAAAAAAAAACTTTTTCTACCATTGAAAGCCTATCCATACATTATACAAATAAAACAAAAAAGAGCAAACCAACATTAGTCTAGAAAAAATCCGACAAAAAAGAAAATATTTATCAAAGCTACGATCAAGTAATGAATAGGCATAAAAAAAAGAATAAATAAAACAATCAGGAACATTTGCAGATATGAAATACAAAGTTATAGAAGTTAATGTATCTGTTACCTCACAAAGATAATATGACTGAAAATAACGAGACAAAAAAAAAATTATTATTATTATCTTATTCATTCTTTATATGTTCTTGTTCGATTTGACTACTCGATGTTAGTGATTGATTATCCTATAAATATATAAATAATAATAATAAAAATAATAATAAGACAAAAATAAACAAAAGAATATAAATACTCGAGATAAAAGCTTTGTTATTTGTATAATAAGAATAGCACCGGCAAATGTTAGACAAGGTACACATGTTTTTAAATAAAAATCCGAATTTGTATATCTTTAAAAAAAAAAGAGAGATCGAATTTCTTATAGATCTATTGAAAAGAAAATAATAAATAGATTTACTCTAATGCACCAGCACGTAATAAAATTTCTGTAATCATGGTTAATATAAATGATACAATACTTGAAAAAGTAAAACCAATTATACTTCTATCAAACCACCACCAAAATGCTATACATAAACAGACTACTGTAATAGAAAAATGAAGATCACTTTGAAATGTAATTTTCTAAACAAAAAAAAAAAAAAAATCTATATGCATTACTTCTTTTCATTTTTGTATTTCTAAACATACTGCACATAAATGATTGATACCAACAAATATTACTAATGATTTACAAATTCGAGATTTTTGCATAGTATCATCATTATCTGTAGACATAGATGTTTGATCAATAGAAGTTACAAGCATTGGATAAAGAAGATCAACTAAAACTATTTAAATACAAGAAAATTAAAAAAACCAACAAAATATTTCATATAATTTTTTTTTCTTCATTTACCAGCGCCAAGACCACATACAGAAATGAGACTCAAAGCAGGTAAAGTAAGCATAAGACGAGGAGAATTAAATAATAATAATTTATGTTCATATTGAAAAGTCATTAATACGACAGCTAATGTACAACCGAAAGTAAATAATATTAATGAACGTGATGAACAAGATAAGGCACTACGAACTAGCATTGCTGCCATTTGTTGTTTTAGTTCGAGTTTATTTTTGTATATCTAGATAGAAGATAGTAAATAGTAAGGCAACTACAAATAGATGTAGGCTATATAAGTGAGTCGATAAGTTAGATGAGACAGACCACAATGGCGTGATCGCAAAATACTTACCCCTCTTCTGTGCCCTCCATTGACGATGATATAAGGGTAGAAAGAGGAAAAGAGAACACAGCGCGAGAAAAAGAGAAAAAGAGAACTATAATACCCGGTCATAACTTAATATGTAAGGTTATCACGGACTTCAATAGTAAGTTGAAAAACAACTATGAAAACAAATGACTAATATTTTTAGTTACGTTTTTTATTTAGATTTGGTTTTTGTGTTCTTATACAGACAAAAAAAAACAAAAGAAACTCATTTATTCATTTGTTTCTTCATTATTATTATCATCGTCGTGTTCATCATCATCATCATCATCATCATCATCATCTGCAAATGTAATTTTATTTTGTTGTTGTTGTCCTTCTTCTGTTGTTGTCACAGCTAAATTAATTGAAGCAAGATTGTATTTTTTATACATATCATAATTTCGTACAATTGAAATAAGTATTAAATTTCTAATTACATGTATTAATATATGTATTTGTGGTTTTTTATAATCACGTTTTAATATTTTTCCATTTAAATCATCAGATTTTCTTGATATTAAATCATTAATAAGAATTTCTTCTAAATGACTTGATTTTAATGTTGTATTATTAGATTTTTTAGCTTGTACATCAAACCATATAATATTGTTTGATGTATCATTTTCATTTATAAGTAATAAAATTTGTTCGATAAATTCTTTTTTTATAATTAATTTTCTTAAATCATCTTCATATGCTTTACATATAAATGATATTGGTATTAAACGTTCAATATATCGACTATGTTGTTCTTTTGTTTGTATACATGTATTAAATATTAATTCAATAAGTTTATTTAATGATATTATTGGTAATATACTTGTAACAAAAAATGAATGTTTCGTACCTGATCTAACAATTTGAAAACGACGAATTTTTTTATTTGAATTATTTAATTTAAGTTTTTCATTTTCTAATGCTGAATCAAGATCATTAAGATTTGGTATTTCATTATCAATATCTTTTTCTTCAGAAAATTCTGGACCACATAATTGATCAGCAAAACGATTTAATAAATTATAAACTTCATTACGAACAAATGATTCTTTTGATGAACAAAATGTTACAAAAAATCCATGTTGATCTACTTGAATTGTATTATGATTAGACGAATTAGTAGTATTAGATATATTGGATCTTTTATTTTGATGATAATTTCGACGTGCTGGTTTTTGATGTTTTACACGAACCATCTTCAATAGAATAAAACAAGAATGGATTTTTCTTTTGTTATCCAATAATACGCACAAATTTTTCGAAAAAAATTATGGTTTACAAAAAAAAAAAAACAACAAACAAACAAACAAACAAATACAGAAGACAAATTTTTTTTTTTAAACAAATGTATTTATATATATAAATATATCTATACTCATTTTAATCGTAATTTTTTTTTTCTGTGACTAAAACGATAGGTCGTTGTCAATTGCAGAATCTAAAGAATTTATTAATACGAAGATTTTAATAGAGTTGTTGTTGAAGCTGATTCAGGAAAAAGTTTATGATAGGATTGTGTTGGTATATAATTACCAATAACAGTACGACCAGAAAAGAATCGACCATGAAGTGCATTGACTGCATTGATAGCTATAAATAAGAAAAATAAAAGAATATGAATAGATTTTTTGAAATTAGGAAAGAAAAAAGTTGATCGAGTTTA